CACGTGGCATCATGGACTGACGTAAAGAATGTATATGCATTGTATCTGAGACCTTTCGAAAACCGTACCTAGCGCAGTAAATCGCTTATTGTTTTTTAATTTATATCTGAGTTATACTATTAAGAATGAGAAAATCAAATGTAAATTGCTCTGTGTTTGTAAATTATCTATTAATTAAAGTTACATTACCTCAATTATTTAAAGGAAATCATCCTGAAACAAGAGTAATCATTGACTGTACAGAAATTAAAACTAAAAAGTAAATAATAACAAAAAGTAGAACATTTGCATCTTCTCTAATAGTGAACAAATGAATGTCTCATCTTTTCCCACTTTAAGAATTACAATTGGTTTATCACTATAGATAAATAAATAAGAAAATTGAATACTTATTACATAAAAATCTATTTGGATTTTGTGTATAATACATGCTATTCTCTTTTAAATTTACAAATACCTTATTTGTCTTGAAATCAACAATTTTATAACAATTATTCACACGTTTACTTTCAAATAACGGTGTAATTAAAGATTTAAAATATAATTCCTCACATTGTTCATGAACTGTGTTGATTAAATCAGATAGCAGCACATGACATTGTGCATCTTCATTAAATAAAGAGCACAATTAATGTGTTTTACTCTTTTGATTCTGTTGTCATGCAAATTTTCCTTTTTTGTTTATTGCAGAGAGGTTATGCTGACATCTAAAATTATTTAAAAGGACAAATTAGCAATTTAAATGTAAAAAACGCCTTCTCATTCATTTTCATTTGGAGTAGGCAAGAAACTGTAACTGTACTTCCTCCATCGTTTTTAATTTCTTTAATTGCAACTACATGCATACCCTTTGTTCCATCTCCAAGGTGTAAAAAATTTGTCATTATGGACTGGTTGAAAACCACATGTTAAAATTCTATCAGGCATTATTGACTACACTCCAGTTAATGAAAGTTCTATTTTTTAATTGTATATTTTATTAAAACATTTAAAATTTCGTAAGTTGAAATTAAAAAGTATTATTTGAATTTCTGTACGAAGAAACCCCCCTTTTCTTCTTTCTTTGGTAAGGGTTCATGTAGAGAAGAAACCCTTCGGATTTTTCTCCTATGTGTTATGTAAATATTAGAGAGGTTGCGGCTGACATTTCCATCGGGAAAACGTGTACGTCGGACGTTCAGCGCCGCATTCCTGTAAGCCTAGAAGTTTGACAATGGAGTTTGGAACGTCGAGCATGATTCTACTGACGTTCCAAACTCCTATGTCAAACTTCTAGGCTTACAGGAATGCGGCGCTGAACGTCCGACGTACACGTTTTCCAGATGGAAACGTCGGCCGCAACCTCTCTATTGCACTCTGACTCTATAGGAGCATTCTTGTTTCTTCAGGTGCAATCACCACGTGAAGTTCATTCCCATATTTTGTATAGTTTGCATTACGATATCTACGATTCATTAAAACGATGGCAGCTTTTAAAATTTTTATAATTCGAAATTTTGTGCGCCTTTCATATCGAATTATCGAATGTCCACTGTATTATCTTTAGTTAAAAAGTCGACAACAAAGATCTGAATGCACACAAAGCTTGCAAAAATTATATCTTTCTACTTGGGATACAATCAACTGGGCGACAAAATAACAGATCAATAATAGACAAAATACAAATTTTATTGTTTTCTTTATTAAAATCACCATTCTTTTCTATTGATTTACTACTCGGTAAAATTTCAATATTTTTTTAAGAGACGAGTTGAACGAGTTAAAAGATTTTGTAATTAATAATATAAATAATCCTCTATATCCATAAAAGTAAGGTAGACCCCCGTTCACAGCCCGGCACACGTATTTGTAAAATTTAAGTGACTCGTACAACATGGAATTCATATAACACGGAATTATCTACAGTGTTATAGGGGGGTCTACTGTAGTTAGGGGCTGTCCATATATTATGTCCGCATTTTTCTTGAAATTTTTACTCACCCTCTTACCTTAGTTTGTCCAAGTTTCTATAACCCATCCCCTCTTCGGATGTCCAACAAAACTCGACTCTCCTGACAATCTTTATCATTTTACAAGTGATAAATATCATAAGTAGAAATAAAACATATAAGAAATTTTGAAAATATAATATAATAAAATGCATAAACTGTAAAAAATAAACCCGACGTTTCCTGAAAATCAATCCCTTCCCTTTCGTCTAGTGTGGACGTCATTTATGGACAGTCCCTTAAGAACAAAGGTGGTTTTGAACAATCCGAGTTCGAATTGGCGAGGATTTCCTGTAGTTCTTTCAGTTTGTTTTCGAAGAACTGCTTTTTTACGTGCTTTGTTGACCATTTCTCACTACTACTAATATATCTGCCAAATCGTATGCTTGCAGAAATTTTTAAGTTTCGCCCATTGTGAATCGCCCAGCTGAGTTAGTGTGTACCTAGAGGGGGTCAAGGGGCCCTGGCATCTTCAACTCGACTTCCTAAGATTAAATTCTGTGCGCGCCACTGGCTGCCGTGTACAACTTTCTACTTTATTGGAAACAAGTTTAAAAAATAAAAAATAAAATACAACTATGAAACTTTAGAAGAAAAATTGTATTTGATATGTTTAGTGCCCTCATGTTACACTGAGTGTATCATGTTTTCCAATATACTCATTTTCGTGCTTAAAATTTTAACCTTTTATCAATCAAAGGAGAACAATTAACTACAAAGTCAGTACCACATTAAAGCAAGCATATTAAGTAGCTTTATCTTAATGCTTGTTACTAACATTTCCATTGTACATCTGTACTTATGTCTGTAAAGAATTGTGCTAGCACTTGTATTTAATAATGACCCACACACCAGTTGTGCTTGGGCCATTTAAAGCATACTATACGCCACATTACCTGAATTGAAAGGATTCGCACTGTTTCATGTAAGAAGGTTAACAGTTATGATGAGAAACATAATAAAACATTTTCCAATTTTAATGAATAGGAAATATGTGAGGTGACTGACTGACAATTTTCTTATTCTTATTTTCTTATTAACAATTGTTAATTCTTATAATTCACAGAAAATTAAAATTACAAAATACAATTCATTCACATTTCATTAACTGCCCCTATTTCACACTAAACAGGGCAATGTCAGACCTGTCCATGCAAGAGATATACACTTGCTTAAACAGGTCTGACATTGAATTTGTCTCAAGAACTATCTCTCTTGATACTCTTGCTTATAATTATAGAATCCTATAGAAGACAATATTAATTAATCGAATTCTCTGACAGTGCATTAATCAAACTAAACATCAAGATCCAAAATAATACTGATTACCTTCAAAGTTTGGTTCACAGTGCTATCAACCATGCTAATTTATCAATGCTATGATTTAAATACAAATTTATACTTATAGTTCTTTGTCAGATAACATTGTAATGTAGACAAATCAGCAAACATTTCCAGATCATGATTAGAGTAAATAATTTTGATATTCAAATTTAAAATATTAATTTAAATATATTGTGTAGACTTTATAATTACTATAAACAGTTAAGAATGTTCTAAAACATAGAAAATAAATTGAGCATGCAAGTTTTTTCTTTTATAGAACATACATTTTTATAGAAGCAAAACTATAACATGTTTTCAAAAATAACTTTTTAAAAGAGAAAACAATGCAAATATATTTGTACTTGAGTCTGGAAATGTCACTATCTGCTAGAGCAGACTTGGACATTTTATGGCCCGTAGGCCACATAACACACCTGGAAGGGACTGTCTGGCCCGCATATAGTCACTTATGAACAAGAGATGTAAATGAAAACTAGTTCCTGCTATGCATGCATGACTTCTATTTATGTACCACAAAATTTGTTGCACTTTTGGAAGAAAATGAGACAGAACAACATGACATAGGCTACCACAGTTGTCAGGTGGCACAGTCTGGGCAAAATGATAAAAAAAAAAAAAAGAGATTCAAACCTTCTTTGTGGAGAAAGGCAATGACATCTCAGTTGTCGGATGATGGCTGCTATGCAGAGCTTGGTTTTGCTGTTGATGTGACTGCACTAATGAATGAACTAAATGTCAAATTGCAGTGAAGGGTCTTTTTCTGCATGAAATTTACTGTTTAGTGGAGTCTTTTATGAGAAAGTTGCAGATTCTCTTGAGCAAACTAAATAACATTCTCACTCACTTATCAACACTGAAGGAAGTCACACCTTCTGCAGACCACCTCCACAGGTACTCATCCATGCTAGACACTCTCCATGGAGAATTTACAAGGTAATTTCAAGACATTAAAACTGTTGAGAATGAAATGCAAATGATTTTTTCCCTATTCATATGCAATGTAGATAATGCACCCAGTGATGTTCAGCTTGGGCTTACTGAACTGCAGTTTGACACTTCTGACAGAGCACTTTAGGACCATCTTACTGTTTGAATTTTACTCTTCCCTCAAGGAACTTTCAAGATTCATCCTCTTTAGATCCACCTATATGTGTGAACAGACTTTCTCAGTGCTGAAGTTCAACAAATTCAAACACAGATCCTCTATCACTGGTGTGCGCCTCTCACCTGTGCTTCGCATATCTACCTCAGATCTTCAGCCTGATTTCAGTGCACTTGTTGAAGCCAAAACAGGCTTGATTTTGAATTGAACTGAACTGAAAGACACCTAAAGCAGCGGTCCCCAACCTTTCGATCGCCGCGGACCGGCCAACGTTTNTTAAGAAAAGTTAATTATTTGTAGAAGAATTAACAGAAAAAGGGGTGTAATTTTTTATATATATATATATAAAGAGTCCTTCGTTTAATTCTTAGAAGCGAGTCTGTAAGTCTTGTTACAAAATCCGAAGCATTAAAGTAGAAACGAAGATAAATTACATAGAAGAATGTGGCCCCTCGACTAATTTTAACAACGTTTATGTATATAAAAATATGTAATTTTTTTTTTCGCAGTGTTTAGCGTGTAAAAATTAAAGAAAACATGAAAAATAAAAGAGAAAAACTTACTTGCAAGAAGCGTGCTGGAATGATAAAAAAGTAAAAGTAAGATGCGTATCCTTTTCTCCATTTCACTCCCGAAAGTGACTGGTTCCACGTTTTGTTTACAAGCAAAACGTTATGTTCCCGTTGAACGGCACGCTCGCAGTCACGTGACGTGAACACTTTAGTTCGATAAACGTCCGTCGTGGGGAGCTCCCACCGTTTGCAATTAGTTATGGATTAGAGGGGAGAGAGAGAGAGAGAGCCTAAGAAAAGACAAAATAATAATAAAAAAAAAAGTGGGTAATTCACCTTCATCCTTCAATGATTCGAATTGTAAAAATCTAGGAATTTACAAGAAATTTTTTAATATTAAATTAGAGAAAGAACAACAAAAAAATATATATATATACATAAATCGAAAATTAGTGCAGCGTGTCCTTGATCTGAGGTGTATACAATCGACTTTTAACACTTTTATGACTTATAAGTAGTTTATTGTTTAGTTCCTGTCTACTCAAGTTATTTGTCTCAGGTTGAACGGCATTNGTAAAGCATTAAGTCTCTCTCTCTCTCTCCTGTAATTTTTTTAATCATCAATCTGCTAACTTTTTCTTTTAAATCCCATAGATTTGTATAGACAAAAATATCATACAATCATATAAAATAACTGGATATGAATTAGGTTAAAGATGAAATTTGTAAGTTGTACTGTACTTTCTTTACTTTGATACTTCTTTTCACAGTATCAATTAATTAAATACTTAACAACAAAATATTTTCTCACGAAAATAAAGTATTTTTATGGCACATTAAATCAGCAATAACCAAAAATATAAACTTAATGATTCATTAATAAAATACTAATATTCTCAAAGACTTAAACTAAGAAACAATGAAGTGGAGATCTTCTTCTTGTAAATGCTTCATCATCATAATTTTTTCATCACTGATTCACAATCTGTACAGTTAATAACTTGTATCCAAAGCTATTATACAACTATTTTGATTTGTTTTCTTTTTTTTTCTTAACTTTAACTCGAATTTAATGGTCCTTTGTCACGAAGTTTCGCCATTAATACTTTAAGGTTAATAAATATAAAAAGGTGTATACAATCGACTTTTAACACTTTTATGACTTATAAGTAGTTTATTGTTTAGTTCCTGTCTACTCAAGTTATTTGTCTCAGGTTGAACGGCATTCTTTCATCGTAAAAATGTATATATATATAAATACGATAAATAAATTGTTCTTACAAATAAAGAAAAATCAAAAATAAAGAACTTAATCCAATTATTTCACTTTGTTCTTAATGTTCTTACTTTATTTTACAGGTGTGTATGCTCTTTAGTACATTTGCTAATGAAGAAACTTAGTCGATTCGTTTTAAGTTCAGAAGCACAAATTTAATTATGAAATATAATTAATTTGTAATTAAAATGAACAGAATTTAGTTCTTACTCCAGAGCAATTAATGAACTTAAATCGTTCATTTCAAATTTGAACTAAATTCAGTAGGAAATTTAATAAATGAATTGAACTCAATGGCAGCTTTATATATCTTCATGGGAACCAGGTAGAAATTTGAATTAGGATGACCCCCATTTACAGTGTTGACTTCACACATATTTCTTCGAGGGAATTTTTTCTTATAAAAGATTTGATTTGGTGTGATCCCCCCGTTGGTGTTGCCCCGGGCAAATGTCCCCCCCCCTTTTTTTTTCTCACAGGAAAATGTGCCACTGATCAAACTCTTCAATTATTTTTAATACAGAAAAATATTTTAAAAGAAATATATAATAAGATTTTCTAAAAATTACAGCTGAAGAGTACAAAACACGAAATCTATTTTTGTATGGTGAAAGCTCCATAACATATCACGAATTGTCAACGTTCCTTATCTCGACACGATACGAGTTAAAATCTGTTTCTAATGATTCCGTTTTTCTAAGAATCACATATAGAAACATCGAGTTACAAGTTAAGAAAACCTTGAATTTTTCACACATTTTTAACAATTACAAATACTTAATTAATAAACAGGGAAGAAAGAAAACATAATTTCACTTCGACGTTTATAAAAATTATTTATATAAATATAAACGAAAGTGTTTTCTTCTCTTCGTACGTTTGACCAAGCGTGACTCGTTCACGGAAGTCGTGATGATTCTTTTTCTTTTTTTTTTTTATTTTTTTAAGCTACAAGTGAAGTCCAAGTTCAGCAATTCGTGTTCATGCATTGATACGATGCTTTAAAAAAATTATTATATATATATATATATATATATATATTTAAATGTTTGTATACTTTGCTAATTACAAGTTATGTTCAGAGTTCAAAGCTCGATGTGGTGTGTATCTACATAGTTAAAGTATTGTAAATATATTTTTTTCAACAATTAAAATAATATGTCAACTTAGATAATGACAATGTTCTCCTTGAGAATGTGATGAGTGGCATTTAAAACCTCTTAAAATTCTTATTTTTATTTTATTATATTCCACATTTAAAAGCACCATTTTGCTTTTTTTTAAGTATAATTAAGTGGCATTTTTATGAATTTTTTTTTGTATTGTTTAGAGGTAATTTATGTGACTGGAGAAATTATAGTTTTAGAATAATTTTATGATTTTTCCCCCTTATAAAATGCCACATTTTTCATACTTTTTTCTAATATTTTGTCATTAATACTTACCAAAAATAACAGTTAAATATGTATTCTACTCTTTAAAAAATTCATATGTTTTTTTTTTTTTTAAAGTAGAATACAGAGTTTAACTATTATAAGTTAAATTAAAAATAAGAAGCATTAGTTGAAAATGGTTTTCACACTAAATAATTTATCACATCAAACAAATGTGTTGTATTTAAAGGCAATACCCATTATCTAGAACTGTATAATGTTAAATCTGTAGAAATGATTCCTTCAGGCAACAAAAGTTGGCTAACAAAAGAAAGTGAAAGTAATGTCTCTAAAGAGAAGAAGAAAATGCTTCCTCCAGAAGCCAAATAATTCTCTATCTTACTCTAGGCTATTCATCTTATTTTCTGATGGTTTTGTGATGGGTCACTCACCTCCTCTTCATCCTTTGTAATGGTGTCAGTAGATAAGGTGTTTGTAGAATGTATAGTCTATGCATTGTATAAAGGTAAAGCATTAAGTCTCTCTCTCTCTCCTGTAATTTTTTTTAATCATCAATCTGCTAACCTTTTCTTTTAAATCCCATAGATTTGTATAGACAAAAATATCATACAATCATATAAAATAACTGGATATGAATTAGGTTAAAGATGAAATTTGTAAGTTGTACTGTACTTTCTTTACTTTGATNTTGATAATTTTACCGCGGCCCACTGAAGGGGGACGTTGATTGTTTATATTTTAGATTAATTTAATTTAATAATTTTAATTTAATTGTATTTAAAAATGCCTTTAAAGTAATATACAGTTACACCAAAAAATGAATATAATGTGATTTAAAATTTTAACTCACTAGTACGCTAAATCAATGAGAATCCTGAGTTTGTTTCTTTGCAACGAGACGGTTAATAGGTTAATCTGGGGGTAATAGGAGACAATGATACCCGAAGTGTGTTTCTTATGTCCAGTTTATTCCGTTGTTCTGTCTCCATTAAAAGTCGCACAAATCCGAGGAAATACCATAGTAAATAAAATGGAAATAATTTAATGTTCCTTGGGCGGCCCGGTACCATTTGATCCACGGACCGGTACCGGTCCGCGGCCCGGGGGTTGGGGACCACTGATCTAAAGGATTTATTCGATTTTTATTAAATTAATTAATGGCTTACATTTACAAAACAACTATTCAGTATTTCTGAGTTGTGTTGAAAAAATAAAATACTGATATAATTATTGTTTATTGTATTTTTGATTCATTCCACAATTTTATATCAATAGAGAGGTTGCAGCCGAAATTTTCATCTCTAAAACATAAATGTAAAATGTCAAGCACCGCTTACAAGCTAGTGGTGCTCAACGTTCACGTTTTAAAGATGAAAACTTCAGCCACATCACTATTATTGTAATAGAATATCCTTAGTCTTTTGATTACCAGTAGCATAATCAAAAATATATTATTTAATGCTCTTTACAATTGGAGAAAATTATAACTGAATATAGTTAAGTTCAGATTATTGTTGATTTGGCCACTCAGGTTTCTTCTCATTTGGCCTTTCGAAAAAATAATTGCCCACTCCTATGCTAGAGAAATTATTCTAATGCTTACTGATGAAGATGAAGATAGTCATATAATTATAAAACAGTTATGTTTGATGTAACTTAAAGTAAGAAGCTGATATGGAAGTGTCAAAAGAAAATTTAATAAATTTTAATGATATTGAAGATAAGTTTGTGGAAGTTTCTTCAGTAGAAGCAGTAAACTTCTAGAAATGTGAATAAAGAATTTCAAGAAGATAAATACATTACATAATAGAATGTCTTCAAGTTTTATATGATTATTACAAATGTATAATGAAGAATATACTAGAAAAATTAGAAACTCACTGGTGAAATACATTTTTCTACCTTTTTACCTAAATGTTCATCTTCAGGAACATCTATCATTTCATCATCACTTTCTAACAAACAATTAGAGAAATCATCTTTAACTTCATCATTATTACTTATTGCAGCATCTTTTCCCTCTGTCTCATCAGATGACTTAAAATCTAACATATCAAAATCACTATTCATATATGTTTCGTAAGAATTGTGAAGGACTTTTGTATCGAACTGGCTTAACAAATTTTGTTTCTTAAGCATCATGCCGAATCTTAGTAAATGTTTTAAGGCTATTTTATATTTCTTGCTTAGTTTACAAGTAGAAATTTTCTCTTTTTGTAATCTTTCTTTAGCTGTTTCTATTTCTTTTTGTTTCCTTTCATTTTCTTTTTCTAATGTCTCTGTTTTTTTCCGCGCTTGCTCTGAACGTTCTTCTCTTCTAATCCTTAACTGAGAATTATATTCTTTCACTAATTTATCTGTAGACGATAGTTTCTCTTCCAGTAATTTTATACTTTCTACTTGTTTGCTGTTTTCATCTTTCAAAGCAGTCCACTTACTTTTAAGAGGTTCTAATTCTTGTAAGACTTGACTTAGTTCATTTTCATATTTTGTACAGTCTTTACGAAGCTGTTCCAATAATTCATCCATACTATCCAATTTTCTCTTCTGAACTTCATTTTCTTTGCACTTGAAACTATATTGTTTAATAACTTTATCTGTTTGAATGATTTTCTGTTTAATCATTATATGATTAATACTTTCTGTTAGTGAAGTTATATTATTTCCATTTGTTAACGGAGTATTCATACTTTTTAACAAAAATGCTTGTAAATTTACCTTCTTATTTACACAATCACCACTCACGAGTTTAAACGCACATGTTACAATCGAATACAGATTAAGTGTTGCCACCTTCACAAAATTCGAACAGTTTCGTGTTGCCATCTTAATAAAATAAAAACAATAATTGTCTTAAAACAAAAATATGTTTAATATATCAGTTATTAAATATATTTTTCCTTTATGACAATTATTTTTTCAATTAAATTTTGAAATTTTTACTTTATACAATTATAGATTTTTTAAAACTCTTTCCGTACTATGGGCACTAAGAGAGCCTCTTTTAGCAAGTCCATTATGGATTCGGTTAGGTCCACAATGGGGCGGCCGGGTGGTCATGGATGGGGCACGACATATCAGGATGAATCACTCCCCGAAAAATTCCTGGGGATTTTTTAACATGCCAGGATTCGATTCCAGGTTCTCCAGAGCGGTATTGACCGCTCGGCTATCCGGTCGCTTCAAATAAGTTTTCGAATTAGTGGCGGAACTACAATGATGTAGAGTTGTTCGGCTAAACCCGGGCTCGGACACAACAGGGGCCCGAATGTGTTAAGCAAAAAGACTAAGACTCACCCGAAAATGAATCACTCGATCATTATCGAGTGATTCTTTTTCCCCGTCAAGAACTAAAGGCTTTTTTGGGGATTCAAGTCCCGTTCTTTCCGGCGGGGATGTGGTTGGGAGAGGGAGGGGTCCGGATTAGAATTTCAAAGTAATGACCGAAAGAAATTTGTTCCGCCTCTGCTTCGAATGTAATCATTACATCAAAATGGTCACATACAATTCATATATAATGTACAGTTAAACCTCGATTTTGAACGATCCACTTTGATTCACGAACATAATTTCAAATTTAAAATTGCATCGGTTGCCGAACGAGATGCTCGGCAACAGCCAGCCACAGACGGCCAACTCCCTATACTTATATGTTAAAGAAAGTCGACGGCACAACCAATCAACGACAAGACTATCGATTATAGAACTTAGCGGCACCTAAATAGCCTCTCGTATCATCGATGACGTTGCTTTTTAAATTATATTTCAATGCCCATGCGGGAAAGATACTACTTCCGTTTTTTGATGCGTGTCGAATTAATTAATAAAAACAGCGTTAATTGACATTCACGTAATATAAATGGCATCCAAGAATTCGTGTTTAATGACTCTTCTATCACTACTAGATTTGGTTTGATTTATTTGGTTACGGCAACGCGACACGTGAGAGATCTGCCAAAGGGGACGCATCCCGGAAGGTCTTGTATAGAAAATTGGCCCGTATTTAGGTGCTACTAACGTAGATAAAACCCTGAAAACACTAAATACCCAACCCGTTGACGAAACGCGAACCCACGAACCAACTACCAGTGTTCAGCGGTTTTATTCACTTGGCGTATCATTGCTAGGGTGACCAACTGTCATACAGAATGACACTTCAGCATGGCCCTCACTTCCTACAGCGAGGTCCCCCAGAGCAGGATCATTGGAAAACCCTTCTCCCTTCTCACTCAAAAAACCCGAGACCTTAGTGGCGTGAGGCGAGGGACCTAACAACTCGGTCTCCGCCGTCGCTTTGGGATATGACAATGCAGCTAAATGGCAAAAATATTATTTTCATTCACAAATTAAGCATACATTTACAATAGATTACATTTATTAGAGACATAGAGGAATTTCACCGAAAAATTTTACAATGACGAACACGACATTAAAAACAAAAACAAAATAGGAACTAATACATGAACTGAAAGAATGAGAGAAATTGAAAAACAAAAGCACATCAACAAGACAAAACCCAAGAAACTATCGATTAAATTATTTCGCAGTAAATTTTCTGCTTTTGCCAAAGCAAATTTTTCGATCACGTCACTAAAATTTTTGTTTAGCTAAATCATTGCACAAAAGAATAGTAGCTTAGAATATTAATTAAACTATGTAAAGAATTAAATATTCCAATTAAATTGAACTCAATATTCCACAAGAAAATCCAAGCAAAGCAAAAAATACAAGCTGGCCATCTTCATACCGAGCCCTCTGATTAGAGTCTGGTCAGTCACTACCATGTGGGGGCCATGCTCTCCAGACTAGAACCAGTTTTACCATTAGGCGAACCTAGGCGATTGCTTAGGAGTGCCAGTCTTACTCATAAACAAAGTGAACTTAGATCGTTAATTAGTGTTAATGAAATTTTTTAAATGTTCGTAATGATATTATTTTTATAAAATTCACACATGTGAGTGTTTGTGTGTGCTTCTGAGTGTGATAACACACAAATATATACATATATATATATATATATAGCTAGACAGATAGACAATTTATAGGAGCTCTTAAATTATCTTTGCCTAGGAACGTCAGGTACTCTTGCATCGATCCTGCCCAAGACTACACGCTTGCAGTAGAGACATTGTTCCATTCGATAGTAAAGACGGGATTAAAGCACTTACCAGTGGTCTTCCACATTCTAACTCGGTGTTCATATGTGGGATTCACCACTAATATGCTGCCAATTCGTAGCAGTTCATACTGTACTTCTGTGTCACAAGATCCCTGCAAACGAAAACAATGATGTTTGTTTGTTTAGTTATGTTATGGTAACGCAACACTTGGGCGATCTGCCTACGAGGGGATGCTTTCCGGGAGGTCTTTTTAAGGGAAACTGGCACCTATTTAGGCATAGCAGACGTGGAGAAAACCTGGAAAACTCCCGTCCGAGCGAGGTGAACCTATGAACCCGCAAACTCCCAGTGTTCAGAATACGAAGATCGCTTGGCCACTGATAGGCACAACGAAGACAATGAAGTTAGGGTGTTAATGGCAGGACAAGATTTTCCACAACTCTCCGAAAAATGGAAAGTCAGTTCCATGTTATTCAGAATATTCTAGAAGTAGCAACTCACTGGTACTGTACATGCAAGTGACTTCCAATTACAGAGCAGTAATTAAAATTAAACAAATCTTCATTCCATTATCGTAACACAAATACATTGTAAATCTGAGATTTGTTGTCTGAAGCTGAAGACCTTCATTCATTCCAAGATCGGACTGACACACCATTTCTCTATGCTCTGAAAGCGATACTAACCTCCTAAATCTATAAAATATTGACAGATTTATTAATTTATTAATTAATCAATCAGTTAAAAGATTAAAATTTGGAGAACTTTCTATGCCAGGGCTAAATGATCTTAAAAATCTTCATTTATCTGAGCCACCAATTTGAATGTCATTCTACTTTTACGATTTCTTATGCCTTAACTCTTTCCACCTTGTGAGTACTAACGAGTAAGAGGGTCTCTTTAGCATGCCGACTATGGGTTCGGTCAGATCCACAATGGAGCGGCCGATTTGTGAGAGACGGGACTCGAATTATCCGGACGGACCACCCCCTGAAAATATTCCTAGAGTTGTTGGACCCTACCAGATTTTCCAGAGCGGCAGACAGCCACCTTAACAATTCGACCATCCAAGAAGACAAATATTATGTAATAACATCTTTTGACTAATAGTAGTAGTAGAAAACCAGAACAAAGGAATAGAGTTTTTTTTTATTTGCTCTTTCCGCCCTGCGGGCACTAAGAGGGCCTCTATTAGCAGGCCCATTGTGGGATTAGCCAGGCCCATAATGGAGCGGCCGGGTAGTAAGCGACAAGACTGATATATCCGGGACAATTTATAGGGGCTCTTAAATTTATCCGGTCGGACTATCCGGTAAACATATCCGGTCGGATCATTCCCGAAAAAGTCCTGGGGATTTTTTTTTACTCGTCCGGATTCGATCTCGGATCCCCCAGANAATGGGCAAAAATTGAGTTAAAATTGCATACACGGTTGTTTTCCAACCCAAATTGTATTGTGGGCTGATAGACTCCTTCATATTTAATTCTAGGGACTATTAAAAACAAAAAATGTATTTTTTATATACAGTTCTTTCTTTATCATAAAGAATCAAATATAAAAAAATAATTTAATTACAAAATCAAAGATAGAATTTTTAAATTAAATTTAAATCAATGTACATAATAACTATAAACAAAGAGTAATCAGTATGATGATTGTCACAGTTTATTGATTCAAGAAGCAAAGTAATCATGAAACAGTCTGGAACTAGTAACTAATTGATTTCTTTGCTTGGCATCATCAATAAAAAAAAATATTAAAATTTTTAAAAATAATATTTCAAAACAATTTTATTAGTTAGTAATTTTGTGCAGGTTGATAAGTGAATAAAAAATTGATAAACACCACAATATGCTAGGTTTTGCACTTCAGACAATAGCAACACTGTTTAAACAACTTAAAATATTAATAACTAATTTATATATTATTAGAAATTGCAAAAAAATTAATTGACAGTTATGCATGTTTCATAGAAACTAAGTAAATTGTGAAATTATTGGTGTATTTTAAAATATTTATCTAAATATTGATATAAAATGTAATGACTAGATTAAATGTTAATATCATAGCTTGTAGTTTACAAAATAATAAGTGAAAAATCTTTTTCTATTGCATGAATTATTTATAATCTAAGTGCAATAGAGAAGAACATAATTCTGCATTCGTTCATGTTTACTGTTTCATAGGATTATATAATGAATTTTTTAAACAAAACTTTTATAATGATTTCATAGATTAAATTGTATTCACTCTTAACTTTTACCTTTAAATATCAAAATTTTTGTTTATTTATTCAGATAGATTTGATTCTGTATCGTTCGAATTAAAGCATACATAAATTTTGAAGCATTATTCTAAAACATTCATTGTTATTTATCTTTTATTGTTCTTTGGTATTTTATTAACCCGTCAAAACATCTTTCTCACTTTTTCTAGCAAATTTTTAATTAAATAAACTAATGTTTTCAGCTATTTTTTAATAGCCTTCCTCAAGTTTTACATAATTTCGAATGTCAATTAGAATATAAGATATCCTTTCTACAGTTGATTTTATATAAAATTTTCTTATATTATGTGTAGAATTCATGCAATCAATCTTTGACTCCTTTTTTTAAGGCACATTTTTAATTCCATGTTAAACAAATGGAGGATGAATGCTTATGAGGAGTACTAACAATAATGTCTGTATACACAACTGATTTCAAATTTTCATCCTTTACAATAATTGCAGTACTGTGCTAAACAAAGCATATGTATTTTTGATAGATGTTCACCTATGGTGATATTGTATTTAACAATTTAGCCCATTTGATTGTTCGTGAAGTACTTGATGTTATATAGTTTTAGGCGGTGTGGGGGCTCGCCCCACCCAGGCTCTGAGGTGCAAGTAATAGTTGGCCCCCAGAACACGTCTACGCGTGAAGCATGTAGGATAGTGGTAGAATGGTACATGTTAAAACATGACCTTCGGAGACAAAGGTCAGGTTGACAATCGTGGAGGATGTGATTTGTGTAAAAAGTATGAGATAAAACATCGATTTCGCTAAAAAGTAGTGAAAACGACCTGCGCCTCGTTAACGGAGGTGCTGCCATTGGGGCTACCTAGTTTAACATTTACCCATTTTTTATATATACATATATATATACACACACACACTATTTTAAAGTAATATTCGTAGTACTTGAAACTATACTTGAACCAATATCTTATACAGGGTGTCCCAACGAAAACGAAACGGCAGAGATATCGCGTTCGTCCAAGCAAATCACTCGGACAGGTCGATTTTATTCTCAAGGGGGACATTTTCTGCAATGAAGTTTTTGCGATTCTGAATACGACAACAAAATTTTTAAAAACTTATTCATTTTTTATTAACTAAACAAACATTTATTTCAAATAAAGTAAGAAACATAAGAAAAAGTTATCAAGTATTCAATAAATGTTCGAATTGAGCACCACTAACCTGCATACAATAATACAAATTTTGCTCAAAACGGTTTCTTACACTTCGGAAAGTTTCGGGTGTTATTTTAGAACACTCGTCTACAATTCTTTGTCGTAATTCTTCAAGAGATCCTGGTTCGGTTGCATAGATCTTACTTTTTAAATGTCCCCAAAGAAAAAAATCAAGAGGACTAAGATCTGGGGATCTAGCCGGCCATTCTAAAGGACCTCTACGTCCGATCCAATGCCCAGGAAAAACCGTGTTCAAAAACTCTGTAACTGGTCTTGCATAATGCGGGGGGGCTCCATCTTGTTGGAAAGTAAGGCGGTCTTCTAAGTATCGGTCGTCATGTTCGACGATATCAACAAGTAATGGATGTACAACATTTTCAAGTAAATCTAAATAACTTTCTCCCGTTAGATTACCATCTAGGAAAATGGGGCCAAGTACTCGATCTCCAAAGATTCCGGCCCACACATTTAGTTTTTGTGGAGTTTGGCTATGAACTTCACGAAATATGCTTGGGTTATTATCTGACCAATATCGACAATTGTGACGATTAACCGTTGAGTTTAAAAAAAACGTGCACTCGTCGGAAAAACAAATGTTAAAAAGATAATCCACGTCAACTCTTAATCTTTCTGTCATAATTTCACAAAACCGTTGTCGCCGATCAAAATCATCTTTATTTAATTGGTGAACTAAATTAATTTTGTACAGATGAAACTTGTGAGTTTTGAGGATCCGGCAAATAGATGTTCTGCTTATGCTAGTCACAGCCTCCAGCTTCCTTATACTTAAAGTTGGGTCTGCAGCAACTTGCCCCAAAATCTCAATCTCTGTCGCTTCGTTTCTTACTGGAAGTTCACGTCCGGGAGTGCGTTTTTTGTTAGCCACAGAACCCGTTAACTTAAACTTTTGAACCAACTCTAGAATGTATTTTGCATTACAATGTTTGTTTGGATAACGTTGATTAAATAAATTTGCAGTAAGATGAGCATTCTCGCCATTTCTGAAATGAAGAGTTACTATTTCTACCCTTTCAGCAATTGTGTAAACCATAACGATTATGTGTACAAAAATTCACAATAAACAAATAATAATCTTAAATTCGAATTGAATCACTATGTGGTCAAGCTTAATGTGAACACTACAAAATACAGGTATAACATTTGGAAACAGATAACACATTATTAACCTTAATTTTATGATCAACTTATTTTTCCTTGCATGTGCGGTCTAGCTTAAAAGGTTTTTTTTTTTATGTTTTTTAATAGTTTGTGTTACTTTATTTGAAATAAATGTTTGTTTAGTTAATAAAAAATGAATAAGTTTTTAAAAATTTTGTTGTCTGTTGTATTCAGAATCGCAAAAACTTCATTGCAGAAAATGTCCCCCTTGAGAATAAAATCGACCTGTCCGAGCGATTTGCTTGGACGAACGCGATATCTCTGCCGTTTCGTTTTCGTTGGGACACCCTGTATATTAAACCTCACCTAACTCAGACAAATTTTTTCAAAATATTGTGGAGTAATTTAGAATTTCTGGACAGTAGAAAAATTATAATTAATGATTGTCTTAGATTTTCAGAACTCTTCGTGATATCATGCATTATGTTACAGTAACTTACTTTTCAGTTCATTTCCTTGTAATAATACATTTTGTAGTAAACTACCATACTGTACTACCATCTACCTTGTTTTTTACATCAGAGTAAACATCTGCTAACTTGGAAAACCTTAGTCTCCTGTTAGTTTGAGTTAATGAAAATTTACTGTAAAATCAAAATTTATTTGATGACTACAGATCAGGTATTGTACTGTTGCTGTGAGATTTCCTACCCAATCCAGATGTGATTACCTTATGTAAATTTGAAACTTATCCAGATCTTTGTGATTGGTTCTGGTTAGCATATTTTCTATTCATGATTCATTCTTTCTGACTCCACTGCAATGGGCAAAAATTGAGTTAAAATTGCATACACGGTTGTTTTCCAACCCAAATTGTATTGTGGGCGTAGAATTCAGAGGTTAAATTTACTCTAGAACTCTCATTCATGCCGTCCATCTTGTTTTACCTTTTGTTATTCAAGGATGGCGTATCAACATTCAAACAAGAGACATAATTTAACAAATGTATCACATAAAGACGAACAGAACAATAAACTGGAGTATAGTAATAGGAGAAAATCAGGTATTATATATTATATTTAATCAATTAATAACATAATATTTGTCATATTTCAATATGATTAGAAAAAAAAGTTCAGGCACGTTTCTTTTGTAAACATCAAACGTCTTCGGTCAGTTATTATGGAAATTACAAGCTGTTTTTACATGATTTTCTTCGATTTTATAATAAAACAAAGCATGTTTACTCCTTATTTAATTCAAATTTAGTTTATGATTTTTTTCCAAGATGAACTTTGATTGTATAATGATGTTNAATATGCTAGGTTTTGCACTTCAGACAATAGCAACACTGTTTAAACAACTTAAAATATTAATAACTAATTTATATATTATTAGAAATTGCAAAAAAATTAATTGACAGTTATGCATGTTTCATAGAAACTAAGTAAATTGTGAAATTATTGGTGTATTTTAAAATATTTATCTAAATATTGATATAAAATGTAATGACTAGATTAAATGTTAATATCATAGCTTGTAGTTTACAAAATAATAAGTGAAAAATCTTTTTCTATTGCATGAATTATTTATAATCTAAGTGCAATAGAGAAGAACATAATTCTGCATTCGTTCATGTTTACTGTTTCATAGGATTATATAATGAATTTTTTAAACAAAACTTTTATAATGATTTCATAGATTAAATTGTATTCACTCTTAACTTTTACCTTTAAATATCAAAATTTTTGTTTATTTATTCAGATAGATTTGATTCTGTATCGTTCGAATTAAAGCATACATAAATTTTGAAGCATTATTCTAAAACATTCATTGTTATTTATCTTTTATTGTTCTTTGGTATTTTATTAACCCGTCAAAACATCTTTCTCACTTTTTCTAGCAAATTTTTAATTAAATAAACTAATGTTTTCAGCTATTTTTTAATAGCCTTCCTCAAGTTTTACATAATTTCGAATGTCAATTAGAATATAAGATTTAAAATTTCGAGCTCCGCTCACATTCTTATGGCATCATGGTATTACAAAAATTGAGATTCTTAAACTTATACAATTTAAATAAAATAAATATAGAAATAAACATCAAACAGAATTACAAAATGGAAAATATAAGAATTATTTAATATTATTTCTGGAATATTAAGCTTATATTATTACTGTATTATACTAATAAAATAATAGTTTATGTAACAAAATATCAGTGTAATTATCAGCTGTCACTTACAGGTGGCAATGGGCAATATATGAATTAAACTGCTATTTGGTGTGAGTGTGTAATTATTCATTTATTTTTTTTAATTGACTTTGAATGGGATAATTGAAGTATTAGAGCATGGGAAGGACCCTGGCAACATCGTTTTTTTTTTTTTTTTACCTGAAAACGATAAGGTCATCAATGAGAACATTGGAAAAAAATTTTAGGACAATTTTGTTCATATTCTTAGTCGAATATTATATTTGCAAGTGAAAATGCAAAGGAGGGTTTTTGATATAAATTCTAAAGATCAAAAAGTAACTACTGCCAAGAAAAAAAAAGAAATTCACGATAAAAAAGTAGTTGAACAATACAAGTTTTTTGTTCTTGTGGGAAAAATGATTGCAAACGGTTTTTGCAAATGTCAAAAATATCCAGCCTCTATATGTCATTGAATGTTTTAGTTATTATACAGTGAAAGCATTGCAATATTGCTGGACATTCTATCTAACCTTGTAGAAAAGAATGCTTGCAGATGGTGCATATTGTTATGAATGTATACAAAAAATGTTCTTGAAATGCAATATAGGTTGGAATAAAAATGTTACAACAAATTCCATAAGTAATATAAAAGTTCTAAGCTTTTCTTATAGTAATAAAAGTTTATTCAAAGATAATTTGTATTTTCTTATCACTATCACTATATACATACTAGGTTATATATAAGTTGCATGATACAGATATTGCCCAGTGTCACCTGTAGGTGACACCCCATTTTCAAAAAAACTAAAGGATATAAATTTTTTCGTCGATTGTATGCATCATTCGGAGGTACTTGAAATCCTCAATTAAATCTTTGAAGTGAGAGAGATATTGCCAACACTTCCAGTTTGCTGGAGTGTGAAGTTAGACTTGTATGATTGGCTGTGTGTGACATTTTTTGACACTTATTCCTTTATCAATAGGTGCATTGGCAAGTAAAACAGCTTTGTTAATTGCCAATTTAGTGAACTGTGCTTAAGTTAGCCGTCATATTGCAATAGTGAAGTAACTTTCATGAAGTGCCTTTGATGCTTTTAAAAGAAGCTTTGAAAACACCAAAAACAAAATTTAAAATGGCAAAGTACAGTAGAGCATCAGTTATCTGAAGTAATTGGAGTGGGACACTTGAATAAGTCACACTTGGTGGGGAAAGAATAAAAAAATAAATACTTTTATCTTAAATAAAGTGAAAAATATTTATTTCAGTCCTAGTACAATAGTAAAAAAGATTTAAGGTATAGAAATTTAATATGTATATGAATTATTATGAATAAAAGAACATTGTTTAGTTTTATTAAAAACAAGCACTAATCTTTATTTTTTAAATCTACAATGTACCAATGAAATTGAATAATTCAAAATAAAAAATACATAATAGTAAAATTAATAACAGTAGCTCAAAAGTGGTCTGTAGAAGATTATTGACAGTGATTATTAAGTAAAAACTTTGAAATTTCTGGAATTAGTATTATCTGATGTCAATTTTGGATAATCTCCTGTACTGCTCTACAAGTACTATATTATAAAATTAGTAGACTAAGAGGTACAGATGTCAGTTGCTTCTAATATTATAACTTTACATAAGTTATAATATTAGAAGCAACTGACATCTGTATTAGCTACAATTCTGTATTATCACTGACTAAACATTTTGATTTACATGAAAACTGCATTTACGAGCAATGTATTTGGCAGTAGAATTGTTTCTTTTGAAAGCAGATATTTAAACAGACTATCAGGAAACAAAAGTGAGTTTTCTTAAAAGCTTTCTTGACTTGATGACTATCTAGTTGGAATTGAAAACATTTGTCAGTATATATAGTTTTCATTGTTATATTAAATATTTTAAAAAGTTATTTGTGGTTTTTAAAAGTAAAAGTTTTTATTAGTTATTTTTAGGGGCTAGACTTACATGCATTTAAAATTGCAATACATGTGCATACATATGCATGTAAAATGCCTGAAATATATATAATGCACGTTAAAAGTGCCAGTAATTTACACTAAAATTTGTACATTTCAACGCATATATAGTCTGACTTTGTCAGTCTGTGAGCAAATCTTACTAACATCTGTTATATCTTTTAGTGGGAGAGAATGAACTTCCAACAGTAGGTGACAAGAGAATTGGAAAATTTTGATGTCATAAAACACATGTTGAGATAATGTTTCATGTAGGAGTTGCAAAATTAAGAGTTACAAATAAAATTACATGCTCAATAAAATTTTATACTTTCTATGCTATTTAATCAATACTATTGAATATATTTCTATATATACAATTGTTTATAAGATGTTTAAGGATTACTGGATTAATCTAGTTTCCGTTGTCCTAAAGTTATATATCACTTCTTGATAGTAGTCACATATTTTTGTTTATTTCCACATGCAAATAATGAGAAATGCATAAAAGCTCTTATTAAGTTATTAATTAATTATAGATTTAATGTTGAAGTTGGTAGTAATGCTCCCAACTGATATCACAAACTCTACTAAAGCTAGTTTTGGTGCAACTAGGACTTACTTATGATCACTTGCTATTTTGAGTCATTTTGATGCTTCATGTATTCATGTTTGAACATGCTGAGACACTTTAAATATTTTTTTTAGCAGGAAACAATTTGTGATGTACTGGTACATTACAATAAAGAATATTTCCATCTGTTTTAAATGTCTAGGATCTGAACTTCTTTACTACTCAGCATTAAGTTTTGCCATTATACCCATGTTGGCTGAATTGATACTATAAAATCTTTTCTATGCACATTTCATTTGCAGAGGTTTGACTACTTACAGGAAATAGTCTCCTTTATATTTAACTAGCAGGTGAGCACGAAATTGCTCAGTCAAAAAACATTAAGATTATGAGATTCTTTCATACTTCTAATCATGCAAGCAAGGTAATAAAGCAATTATTTAGTCCCAAAAAAGATAAAACTGCATGTTTTTTTATGCATTTTTAAACCTTAATTTGATCTGTTTGGTGCCAAATTGTGTTTATAATGAGGTTTTATCATTATAACGTTTAAGGAAAAAATACACATGCATATGAATTAATTATATTAGTCGAGTGAATCCTGATTAAAATTTTTGGGCATGCTGAAAGTTAGAATAATAGGCTTATCTCTAGCACTAAAAAATAGGCAGAAATGTTATTTGGTGTGAAAAAAAAAGTATGGAGTATTAAAAAGCTTATATCTATCTACATATGAAATATATTATAATGAAAAAGTATTAAAAATTTATGATGATAATTCAATTTTAGGGGGCCCCCTTGACACTGGGGTGCCCCATGGCTTAAGCCCTGTTAGTCCCTATGTAGATCCACCCTGTATACAATACATGTATGCTGACTGGGTACCACAAGCTTTCGTTACATTCTGGCCATGTTAAATGTTTCAAATGATGTCATGTCATGCACACACACTTGTTTGCTGCGGCAAACCTCTACTGGAGCAAGCGATTGAGTCTCCACAAGCATCTCACTGACTTAAAATGGCTAGCTGTTAGCTGTCAATGTAAAAGCAAACACAAATCATAAAACAGTTTACACTTTAGAATAAATTATTATTGACATATTTGTTCTCATATAAAAAGTATATTGACAGTCAAAACTTCTTAAGCATGCGGCACATGCTAAGCAAGCCCAGAGAATTCGCCCCTGATATTAGTTAATTATATATTTATTTTTTATTATTTAAATATTAAATATAATTTCAGTAAGTTTTATTTATCTTATACAAAATTATAATAATGTGTTTTGCTTATTTTACTATGATTTCTAATAAATAGTTTAAAACATCATGC